ATGTCAGTCTGTTTCTCTCCTGATGGAAATACATTAGCTTCTGGTAGTTATGATTAGTCTATCCGTCTATGGGATGTCAAAACAGGATAATAAAAAGCCAAATTAGATGGTCATAGTAGTTGTGTGAATTCAGTCTGTTTCTCTCCTGATGGAAATACAATAGCTTCTGGTAGTTGGGATAACTCTATCCCTCTATGGGAAATCAAAAACAAGTATTGTTCAGATTATAGATATAAAGAAATTTAGGTTAAAAATACAAGATATCCTTTTTTTAACACTCCTTTACAGTAAAAGAATATTATTTAAAATTTAGATACATCTAATATTATGGTTTACCCAGACTTCAATTTTTCAAGGTATAAGAGAGTTTTTTAAAAAAAACAGTTTCCTTTTAGGAATTATTGGAGTAACACTTGATTAATTTAACAACAAACCTATATTAACCCTTAATTTAAATCTATTTTAATATACTTCTTGTGTCCAATATTTGTTGATAGAGTTCTATTTTATAGTTATTTTCTTTTTTAACAATCTTGAAGCATTACTAAAATGGAAATTTAGCACATTTTAAAATATTATGAAATAGAACTTTTAGTTGCATGAATGCAATAATATCTTAAATCTTTGTATACTGTTTTTTTGATATTATTCTTATCATTACCAAGCATTTTCTCTCAATTTATATTTAGAATGTGAATTGTACAAGATTTATAAAGTAGATTCTACAACCAAACCTTACAACATTTATCATTTCTAAGTTTTCTAATCTTCGTATTTCTTGAGAGTCAATATATTCTAATATTGAATTTCATAAATTAATAATTTTCTCAACTCAGATTTAATTAACAGTAATACTATTATTTTTATTAAATTGATTTTCTAAACTTTAAATTTTAATAATGTTATTGAAAAATTTATTTTAGAAATTTAAGAGAAAATACTCATGCATTTAAGTGTGATTAATATGAATGCTTTTTATATATTTAAATAATTTATCGTTCAATTTATCTTAGGAGATTGTTATAGAGAAGATAAATTTTATTAAGATTGTCCATTGTGTTTATCAATACCAATAATTATTTCCTTTTTAATTTTACAATTTAAGTGCAATTTCTTAATTTAATTGTAAAATATAACCATTTAA